TACCATGGCTGCAAGGATGGACTCAAGTTTAGCAAGGATTGTGAGGAAGGTGCAGGACCAGGCAGTGTTTCATTCCATTGTACATAGGCTCACTATGAAGTTGGAGTCGACTTGATGACAGCACCTAATAACAACATACCTGTGGTTATAGTTCCATATGCCAGTAGGTTTTCTTCATTATGTTAATGAGGCAGTAATACTGTAGGGTGTGTCTGGAGTCAATCTCTTTTGAGATATAGAAGGAGCAGATTAAAAGATGGGTAGAAGATACAAACAGCTGAGACCATGCGTTAGACTTTTAGCCTCCAGAACTGTGACAAAATTTAAATTTCTGTTCTTTAAAGCCACCTACATGTGATATTTCTGTTCTAGCACCATTAAGTAATAGTCAGGGAGGGGGATTGCTACAGTAGGGAGAATCATAAACTCTGTAAATGTTTCAAAGAGTTAGGGGAAATGTGTTTAATTTGATAGAGACTGAGAGTGGGGGGGGGGAAACCCCAAAAAACCAAACTTACTGCTGTTGAGTCAATTTGACTCATAGTGACCCCTCTTTGGGTTTCCGAGGAGGTATCTCTATGGAAGTAGATTGCCCAATCTTCCTTCTGAGGATGGGCTGGTGGGATTGAACTGCGAGTCTTCTGGTTAGGAGTCAAATGCCTTAGGCACTATGCTAAAGACTAGAAAAAACCCAGGTGTAGGGAGGTGGGATGAAAGGGTGACATTATCAGATAGTAAATGACAGTGTTTTACTCTGAGGTCAGCCTCTGGTCTGGGAGGGGCCCTTAAAGAGTTTCAGACTGACAAAACCATTTAATTCACCTCAAATTCAGATTTCTGGGTTCATGGAATTGGGGTAACCCCCCCAAGCCATTTCCCTTAGATGTCCTTTTGAACCTTGAGCCTTGACAAAACTGATTTTTAAACATCACTTTTGTGTCAAACAATGGTCTAAATAAACTGGTAAGACCACTTTGCCCTGAGCATTGTACTCTTTTGAAGTATTCAGTCCGTTTAGGGGAGCAGACTAAAAAGGTCAGCCTTGGAGCTGTTTTAGGGTAAATCAGTAATTATTTTTATTT